AAGTGTAATTGTGGGAAACTCTTCAGCTGCTTCGCTTGTCCTGTTATTTTCTTTCCAATAAGGCTGGAGCTAAATTTGTAAACTAAAGAGTTTTAATGGATCCTTCTGTACCTGAATGGGTCTCAATGGTTTTGTTTGCTGACTTGGAAATTGTTTTCTTTGCTTTTATCTATAAGTAACATTAAGTCACTCAGCAAACTTGTAAACAGAGCTCTTCTTTTTTTGGACACTCATCACACACAAGTACAAATAAAACAATGCAGGCATCATCACGTGTGCAACCTCCAGTAGTTTAAGATCTAATTTATACATAAAATAAAACAAATGTGATTATGTTTAGCTGTAGCTGGAGTAAAATGTAAGCAGCCAAAGACAACATGTATTTCTACATGTATTCTGCTTACAGGGAGGGCCTCAGCTTTCCATCTATCACTATCACATGATTTCAGATTGAATAACAATGAATGTCCTTGGTCTGCAGCTGCTCTTTGCTCTCTCTTTATCCTGGTTCTTGTTTTTAGAGGTGGCACCAAAACTGTTGAGCAAATGTTTTTAATTGGTTTTGAACAGCAAAGTTTTTGAATGTTGGACCTGTTATTGTGCAGATATGGACAGATGTGCTCTGTGCTGTTAATGACAGGTCAACATTTGCTCAACATTCAGTGCTGATCAAATGTTTTGCTACTGGACGTACATCACATTGTCATGACATACTTTAGTTTGTTGAGTCAAAAGGTTTTTCATCTGTCTCACAGCTCCATAGAGCTGATGAATCCCATTTTTAGGCAATAATATTTTCATATTTTCATAATTTCCTCCTTTTTATATATATTTTAGATGCTATGAAAAGTCACAAATACTCACACCACCTTTACTAAAAGGGGCATTTTGCTATTTTATATGTGAATTCACAGCATACTAACTGTTTGACATAACTTTAAGCTCATCTGATTGTAGGAAAACTGTTGGACGTAATAACGAATATGGGATTTTTAAACAACTTTATATTTAGTCTCTAATGTAGTTAAGTGTCTCTAACTCTCATTAATTGCTGACTTGGGTATAAGTCAGAAAAAAATAAAAAAAACAACAGCAGCTATCCAAACTTAGAAAAAGCAAAACCTCTTGTGTCCTAATCATCTTGATAGGACACAAAATCTTGATACATCTTATTGAATGTACTGGAATACAGCAGCAGTGACACATAAAGTATAACCTGAGAGGTTTATACACATACAGATTCTCTTAATATTGTTTTTATTTTTTGTTGTTGTTGTTCTTTTGTGGATATATAATTGTCTTCATGCTCGATAACTCTATCTTCTTTAAATTACCAAGGTTGGCACACAATTGTCAAAGTTATTTGGGATCTTTGGCAAAGTATGTCCTGTGATGTCTTAACCTTTTGCGTTTACATTAATTAAGAATGTTTGTAATAGGCTCCGGAAAACATGAGATGGTCACTGTAGAGCCTCCTGTACTGTTTCAGCATAATTAGTCATTTGCGTTCATGAATAACCTGTTTAGATCATTTTATATAGCTGTGATTTAAGATTGTTACACTTCACTGTGCAAATTTCATGCTGTTTTAATCTAAAACTTCATATGCTTACTTACCTACTTCGGAATACCGAGTTTCATCATGTCTCCTTTATGGATTAATTGAAGGCTGACATGATGATTTGAGTTACACCATTCAAAGCCATGTTGAGGACAATTTTTAAATCTTTTTTTATACAATAACATCTTCTTTTTTTTTTTACCTGCTATGGTACATATTTCAGTATTTTTCTTTGTCAATTTTTTTAAATGTTTTCAGTTTCTTACTTAACTATGAAACCATATGCAACACAGCTTAATACGTTTTCTTCATTGTGTATATTTTCCTAACTGTGATTCTCTGTCGAGGCTTATGCATTCTACACATGTAGCTAAATACATAACTGTTTTAATGGATGAGTATGTATGTGAATCTTTTATTATTTTATTTTGTTTTGGGGTTTTTCTCTCTCTCTCTCATACACTCACACACACACACACACACACACACACACACACACACACACACACACACATCCAGTCACACACAGAAAAAACAAACGTCTGTAGCAACTTTTAAGTAATTTCATGCAGCTAGTCATTGGTTGGCTATAGCTTAGCATGCAGACTTATTCATCCGCTATCTGGAAGGTTGATGGTTCAATCCCCTGCT